AAAAGAATTTAAGGGTAAATTTAAAAAATAAAAATATTAAATGACATAATATCCATTAAAATAAAGTATCATTTCTTATATTCCTTTAAAAAAATATTACCCTTATAAAATTATGGTGAGTTTTTTTTTTTGACACTACTAATACTATGTAGCACTACTCTTTTAAATTTTCTTTTTATTTAGATTTTAAATATTATCATGAGTTATCATCACATATTTTGCGATTTGGGAGGGAAGAGCGAGAGAAAATTAAGAAAAAGCCAAACAAAATAATGAAAAAGAAAGAAAAAGAAGGAAGAGCACTTCCTTTCTATCAAAACAGTTGGGAGTGACCTGAAACTTTTTGAAAACTACAAGGATAGTACTGTTAGAATTTAAACAAAAGTACTGAAAGAACAGGTTCGATTTTAATATTTATAAATTCGTCTTCCATTTGATTGATAGATGTTTAGCCTGAATTCAGTCAACGGAAATTTTCTCTCATTTATTTTCATTTTTCTTATTTTATTTATAATTGTAGATTTTTTAATTTTCACTTCAATTTTTTTTCTTTTCTGAATTGAGAGCTAATGGTCTTGTGTTTAATTTTAACTAATATAAAATAAAATAAATAATCATGTAAAAAAACTAATTTATTTTAAGTAAAACAATTTTAAAAGAACTATAAATAGTGCCATCCAACTTTACAAGTTGTTTTTTTTTTCATTGACAATATAAACTTGAGTCACTCTAGCATTTTCCTTTAATTAATTACTCAATTTCTCTTTTGGTGCTAATTGGTAGGTTTTTTACCTTACGCTGCAAATCAAATCAAATATATTTATTTTAATTTTATAGTCTATAGTATGTTGTTGGTCAACTAAAATATATAAAAATAAAAGTTAAAAAAAAATTGCATATAATTTCATACATTTTAATAAAAATTTTATATTTAGTTTATTTTTTATGTTTTTATAAATTTTGTAATTAAAAAAACACAACTCTTATTGTTTAAAATTGATATATTCAATTTATCGTTTCTTATGAAAACTATTATCTAGTTAATTTATTATTTTTATATATAATTTTATTTGTTACAAAATATAATTTATTTTTCTATATGTAAGAATTTTTGAATAAGTTTTTTAATAAATAATAATTAAAAAATAAAATTCACGTGTTTTATTTGTTTATTTTTATATAGTTAAAACATATTAAATTTATTTTTATAATTGTTTTTTATTACGATCTACTAATTTCAATATATTATTTACAACTTGAGTTTTTTTAAAATACTTTTAATTTATACCGCATACTCTAACTCGCAAAGTATGATTATAATATACAAAAAAATAAAAATAAAATAATTGATTTTATAAAAAAATTAACTATGCATCTACGAACATAGCATCAACTATTTACTATTAATTTTTTTAATCAAATATTTATATGTAATTTATTCTTTTTTATGTTTTTCATAAATTTTGTAGTTAAAAAAAAATGATTTGTTCTTTTTTTAATGCATTCACTTTTAAATAAACACATGTAATAATCTGATAAAAAATTAATAATTTTTTAAAATATCTTAATATTTTTCAAAATATTGCAATGAAGAAATAAAGCAAAAATTAGAATAAAAACTTGTTTAAAAAATTAACAAATGAATATTGGCATTCTTGCTTAATGTTGGTGAGAAGATATTTTTTGTTTGAAAAAATATATATTTATTTAGAAAATAATCAATAATATTAGTATAAAAAATTATATTTGAATTGTTATGTGGTTTTTAGAATATTATTTTATGACATTTTATTTTTCAACTGATTGTTTATTTTTTTTAAATAAAGTGTCATAAAAAAGAAAAATAAAAAATTATTTGATGAGAATTTCTATAAGAAACAAAAAATTGAAAGATTAATTTTAAATAATAAAAGTAATATAATTTGATATACGTGTTTATTTTAAAATATGAAAACATGACGTACATATTTCATAATCATAAAGCCTGTATAGAAAATAAAAAAAATAACAAATTTTTTCATTTTTTTATGCTGAATTCAATAATAAAAAAAATTCAAATAAATTGCTAGAGAAAAAAACAAAAGCAAAAGCAAAAAGAAAAAAAAGAAAAAAGCAAGCATGAGTGTTTGGTCCGTGTAAGAATAAAAAATATCTTTTTTTTTATTAAATTTCAAGGATCAAAATAAAACATAATGTCAAATTTAAATATAAATATCCTAAAAAAATAACAAAAATATCATTATACAGTAAAAATAATAATATATGTAAATCTAAATGAATAGTATCTTCGATGACGATACATCCCAAATTTTTTAGTCTTTTTTTTACAGCGTGAACTTTGGAGTAATGTATCTGCTCCAGTACCGAATGGGCCAGTACAATAATCCAATATACAATGTCCCTGATATAGAAATTGCGAGGTTGCGAGGCATTAGAGTCAAATCGCATGATGTCCTGGTGGGATTCTAGCAGTAGGAAGCGCTAGACAGGGACCGCTTGAGCTGGTTTTTTTTTTTTTTTTTTTAATGTTATTAAGAGGGTCAAGGTTGACGTTCGCTAGGCTAATCACTAATTACCCATATAAAAATAAGGCATAGTTAGATGGGTTTGTTCACTTAAATGAGTTGTTAACTGGTTTTATTGCAAGCAGGAACATTGAAAGAAAGTGAGAGATTAATACTTTTAGATTATCTGTCCCTGTTACCATAGAGCTCCAGACTAAAAAAATGAGACAGCAGGATAGAATGTCAAAGTAGGAAGGGAAATTATTGAAGCTTGTATTGTAGGTTAGCAAAATACCAAACCTACCAACCCATCTATTCTAATCCAATCAAATTATCGAATACACGCAATGTACATCGCCAACGTCTGTTTCAAATACGAGAGATGCATGTTGATAATAAAATTTATTGTTTATTCTAAACGAAATATTCGAATTCAAATCCTTAAAAAAAAGAGCTGAAATACAAATTTATTGGCTATGCTTTTCTTATTTTTTAAAAAATGATAGATGGTCGAGTGCAAGGAATCAAGTTGCATCTTACTATATTTTATGTGGTACGATGGGACCAGATGCCTTAAGCTATGATGTCGATAAAGTCTTGCTTCAAGTTGATACAAGAGAGACATAGTTTTTTTTTTATATATAAATTATTCATTTATGAACTTGAAAGTTCAAATTTTATTTATCTCAACTTATAATTAGTGGTATATTTACTTCATTACGAACGATGGTAACTATCATCGAAAAAATCTTAAATTTCGATTTCAACACAGACATAATAGTATCACTTTTTTTTAACAAAAAAGGATGCGACGTTAATGCAATATTTTCTGCGACAATATAAAATATTCTCCTTATCTTTTTATTTTTTGTAAAATAAATAATAATACTAATAACAATAACAATAATGATAATGAAGTCCCGACACTAGTGCCGTTCATATAACTGGGTCCATCAGCTTTTATACGATCAGAGTACCAAGCTATCTGCCGAAGTTTGAACCACAAACACAGTATCTGCAGTCCACCATTTAAGGGGTGACCAAAAAAAAAAAAAGGGTCATTCATTTAAAGCGCAGTTATGTAGGGAATGAAGATTGAATTTCATTGTTAACCTTTCAAGCAGTATAATATAGTTTATGATCGCAGCTCAGAATTTTCAACTGAACCTGACGCAGAGCTTGCTAATTTATTATGGTTTAAAACATTTTGTTCAATTTTTTCGATGTTGTACATTAGCAAGGAACTTTTACCTTTTTCAACGAGTATATTGAAATTTTTTGTATTATTTTTCCTAATAATTAAACAACAAATATATTTATTTATTTTCCAAACATAAGAAAACATAGAATAAATGTGGACTTGAGAGTTATTATAAATCGAATCTTGGTATTAGATAATAAGCAAATGTTGTAATAAGGGGAAAAAGCTAACGGTGTCTTAAACCCATGAAGAGATTAATTGTCGACGGCAAGTGGACCTTAAATGTTATAAACAGAGAGTCTCAAAATCTTCCTCTAATCATTAATACCTATGTGAATTATCCAGGGATTAAAAGCACAATATCTTTTTGAATCTGTGACTGATTAAATGAAAATTTAAATTTAATTTTTAGAGCTAAGTATAAAAAAAATATTAAACGGTAAGTCTACTCAAAATGCTCGCCGTACCGCCACTGCAACTCGCAACCCCAGTACGGAGCTTCCTTAGATCAACGCAAAAATCAACCATATGAGCTATGAATAATAATATTTATTTATCATTTTTCGTTTCGCGACAATTCCCTCCCTCCTTGTTGCGGTCATGTACCTTGAAATTAGCACAGTGGCATTTTCGTTGTTTCAGCTAAACAAAAAAGGTGGAATCGACATTGACACCACACTGATATTTTATTTCCCGTTCCAACTTTTTAAAGCTCACCATCTAAAAAGCATTTTTTTTAAAAAAACAAATTTAAAATTGTATTTTGATAATGAATAAAAAGGAAAAGGATAACAAAATTATATCGGCTCTACCCACCCCTACCCAATCCATTTGATTTTCGATCATCTCTTTCTCTCTCCTTTTTCTTTTTTGCTTCTTTCTCTTACTCTCTCTGTCTTTGCCGTCACTGTTGTTTCTCTTTTCTGTATAAATCTTCGATTTCAAGTTAGTTCGAATGTTCTTCTTCTTACATTCAACACTACCATATCGTTTTTGATTTACTCCATAAAACAAGAAAAAAGAAAAGAAAAAGAAGAAAAACCAAACACACTTCTTTTTTACTCTTTTTTATCCTGTGCACTATTATTGACCATTCAAAATCTCCGTACTTATAATCACAAACAAGAATAAAATTCATATTCTCTTTGATTTTAACAGAATAAAATATATGCTTGTTTATTTTATTATTTGCGTGAGTGAAATGCGGAATTGCCAGCGATTTTTCAAGCCGATCGGAAAATCGCCGGTGATGTGATGGAATCCACACTGTTTAGTCTTACAGTTTCGGCCATTTCATGGAGGTTTTCATAAACAAGTGTAGTTCATGTTCGGTACCTAGATTCGATACTAAGCTCAGATTCACACTCGTTGTTTTCGAGGTAAGCTGTTCCTTTTCTTTTTCTTTTTAATGTAATTATTAATGCTGTCTCCTAGTTTGCTTTTGTTCTTTGAAATGTGAGATTCAGGGTTTTTAGTTCACTGGCTTTGTTTACCTACTGAGAATTTGAGGGAAAAGGTAGGAAATTTTGGGGGTTTATTACTGAACTGTAACCCTCAAGTAATTTTCAGATGCCAAATATTATGATTGTTAGTTTAGAATTTTTTTTTTGTAATTATATTGTTTTGTGAAGATTTCTCCTTTAATCGGCTTTTTTTTCCCCTTAATTTCCCCTTTTGTTTATGGAAATTACATTTTGGAAACTTTTCACAGGTGCCTGATTTATTTAGGATATAAGCTTCGTTATTTTTTGGATTGCTTAGCCTTTGGAAATAAGCTGGGTCTGAGTATCATAATTAGCTGCTTTATTAGTTTGTAGGTAAAGCTTAATTGAGCTTATGGAGTTCAAAGTTTTGCTCTTTGTTCTGGTGTGTGTTACTTTGAATTTGGAGTTGCTAGATCTCTTGATTCTTTTTTTTTTTTTTTTGGCCAAATTTTGTTCCATATTATTTCATTATTATTATTTTTATCTGTGTTTGAAATTAGAAGCTTTTTGTTCATGTTCATACGAACCGTTAGATTTACTTTTTTTGTGCTTGATAAGTAATTTCAGTAGTATGTGTTTGTTATGGCTTTGAAACAGATTGGATTGATATTGTTATGCTTTCAAGCTATTAATGCTGAAAGCCATGACCACCAGTTGCAACGGCAAAGTGCAGAAAGGGGAAGTGAAAATATTAGATCACATTCATGCATTCATGACCAGATAATTGAAGAGAGGAAAAGACCCGGTCGCCAGGTGTACTCTGTTACCCCACAGGTTTATGGTCAGTCTGGTAATTCAAAACCCCTTCATCGCAAGGGGAGGGCATTGCTTGGAATTTCAGAATCATCTTTACAGCAAAAAGATGTAAAGCAGCCAATTAGGATATTTTTAAATTATGATGCGGTTGGTCACTCACCTGATAGAGATTGTCGGAAAGTTGGTGACATTGTGAAGGTGGGTGTAATATCTGATTTAGTAAGTTCAGTTGGTTGTACTAATTTCAGCTATAGACTGATATTTTCTTTATTTCTTATCAGCTAGGGGAGCCTCCAGTGGCTTCTCTTCCTGGTACTCCTTGCAATCCCCATGGTGATCCTCCAATTTATGGTGATTGCTGGTACAATTGCACTGTGGATGATATTTCTGGGGAGGACAAAAAACATCGGCTTCACAAGGTTAGCACCTATAAAATTCATTTAAGATGTCTACTCTTTTGAGATGACATTTCAATGAGGCATGAAACTGTAATCTGCATTTCTATTAGCAAAAAGCTTGATAAAGCTGAAGAACTTCCTTTTGTAATCAATTTTGGTGCAGGCACTTGGGCAGACAGCTGATTGGTTCAGGAGAGCATTGGCTGTTGAGCCTGTAAAAGGTAACTTGCGTTTAAGTGGATACTCTGCATGTGGGCAAGATGGAGGCGTACAACTTCCACATGGATATGTCGAAGGTATCATCATTTCAGTTGCCCTTTTTCTTAGTGATCCGCACATATTGTTGTTATCATTTTTATGGCACTTGTTAAATTGAAAGTTCAAGGCCACTGTTATATTTGTTTAAATTCTTCACAGAGGGTGTTGCTGATGCGGACTTGGTTCTATTGGTGACTACAAGACCTACCACTGGCAACACTCTTGCATGGGCAGTGGCATGTGAACGTGATCAATGGGGCCGTGCAATTGCTGGTAATTTCTTAGTTCTTCAATTTTTTTTGCATTGAGCAATATCTTACTGTTCGTGTGATAATAAATCAGAGCTGTTCATTTCTTTTGCAGGACATGTGAATGTTGCCCCTCGCCATTTGACAGCTGAAGCCGAGACTTTACTTTCCGCTACCCTCATTCATGAGGTGATTTTATTATTAAATTGACAAGATTGGCAACCTGTGGAATGATCTAGCTTTTATTGATTAACATGTTCAATCTTGTCCAGGTTATGCATGTCCTTGGTTTTGATCCTCATGCCTTTGCCCATTTCAGGGATGACAGAAAGAGAAGGCGCAGTGAGGTAGATAACAAATATACTGTTGGATCAATTCTTAAAACATTGGCTAAATCATTAAGGGAACTATATATGTTGCCTTCCATAAAAAAATTTTATGTTGAAAGTCTTCATAGTTTATTTGTGTGCTTTTATGTGAATTTTGCATGAAGTCAACATTAAAGCTTGCTAATGCATGTTACTTTTTCAGGTCACTGAGCAACTGATGGATGAAAAGCTTGGCCGGATGGTAACACGTGTTGTTCTTCCACGTGTTGTCATGCACTCACGACATCATTATGGGGTAAGTGTCATGCTGCTTATCAATTTTTCCAAGGAAATGCTTCCATCGTCAAAATACTCTTTAATTTCTGACTATCACAACCCAAAATCCAACAAAGTTTTGATAAGTTTCCTTCTAGCAGGCATTCTCTGAAAATTTTACTGGTTTAGAACTGGAAGATGGGGGAGGACGTGGAACATCAGGTATTCCTTTTTTAGTCTGAATTTTTTTCAATCTCAAGCAGCGTCTACTTTTTATATATAAGTTGGCTATATCTAGATTGTAGACATATTGGTTTTGTCTTTGAGGCACTTAAATTAATGGCTATATCTAGATTGTAGACATACTGGTATGGCCTTTGAGGCACTTAAATTAATTGCTATATCTAGATTGTAGACACGTTGGTTGTCTTTGAGGCACTTAAATTAATACATATCACTGAAAATTGATCTGTAGTACATGACAGGATTTTAATTTATGGGAACAGAAATGCTGAAGGATTGACATGTGCAAAATGTTTTTACCAATTGGCAGAGCAATAATCTAATGTTACCATCAGATGTGTACTGTATTCTAGCTATAAAAGTGGTAATACTTACCGATTTAGTGATTGTTATTTATATGGTGACTTGGCTGCAGGGTCACATTGGGAAAAGAGGCTTCTGATGAATGAGATAATGACGGGATCTGTGGATACAAGATCAGTAGTTTCAAAAATGACACTAGCTTTATTGGAGGATAGTGGGTGGTACCAGGCTAACTATAGTATGGCAGATTGTCTCGATTGGGGTCGAAATCAAGGAACTGATTTTGTTACTTCCCCTTGCAACCTTTGGAAGGGGGCATATCATTGCAACACTACCCAGTTGTCAGGCTGTACATACAACAGGGAGGCAGAGGGTTATTGCCCAATTGTAAGTTACAGTGGGGATCTCCCACAGTGGGCTCAGTACTTTCCGCAGGCAAATAAAGGTTTGTTCTTTAGCTTGATGTTTTTAGCATTTATTTATGCTCCATGTGTTTGAATTTCGCTAGTCCGTGATTATGCAGTTTAGAAACTTTCCCATCCTTATGTATGTAATTGTAAATTGACGTTCTTTGTAGATCAAATATTTTTAATCCCTTTTTTTGGGTCTACATATTGGCATGACAGTCTGTCCTCAAGATTCTCATATCAAACTAAGCCTTGCATTTCATGTTGTGTTTGTGACTAATCATAGAAATCCAGTAGCTTGTTTCCTTAATCACTATGAGTTTTTCTCATTATTGCATATTTCATTCGAGATCCTCATTTTGTCACTTCAACTTGTGGAGACTGAAGATAATGCTTTTTTTGCTCTCAATTATTTCTGCATGAGTCTTTGGGTGTCACAAGCTGGTTGTAACAGCTGGACATGCAACTACCTGCAACATATAGCTGTTGAAGAAGGCAGTGATTGTTTCAGTAAATCAATATCCTTGAACGAGTTGGTTGGATTGGTCCGTAATTTGATAATTCTGTTTCTTCTTTTATTGGCCAACACAGGCGGGCAGTCCTCATTGGCTGACTACTGTACTTATTTTGTGGCATACTCTGATGGATCGTGTACAGACACTAACAGTGCTAGAGCGCCAGATAGAATGTTAGGTGAAGTGCGAGGGAGTAACTCAAGGTGAGATTTGAGATTAGAATATTCTCTGAGGTTTTGTTGAAGAGTTCAAGCAACAATATGCTGATCAGCTGTTTTCAAAATATCGCATGTAGGTGTATGGCCTCATCATTAGTACGCACTGGTTTCGTCCGGGGTTCAATGACCCAAGGAAATGGTTGTTATCAGCACAGATGTGTCAATAACTCTCTTGAGGTATGTATCGGTGCTCTGATACATTTAATATTCTCCTGCATGCCGTGCTGGCGTTTAATAGATGCTAGGGTGAAGCCATTCAGTTGTCTCTGAAAGCTTGCTAACTTTACATACTGTATTTCTCAATAAATGATGAGCTTTTTAAGAGGGTTGAAAACACAAATAAATGAAATTTGTGCAAGTGTGTAAGCTGTAATTGAGTTATGATCGTTTGGAGATTTGCAAGTTTTTAATCACTCTTCTTATGAGCTATGAACTTTTTTAGTTTTGCTAAATTTTCCAGAAATTAAGGGTCGGCTTGAGGAATTCAATCTTGGGGTTTAGCTACTTAGGAGGTGTGAGAGTCTGTAGGATGTCCTTTGAACAGACTATCCTTCCATTTTCCCCTCTTTAACATGGAATAACGCTTCAGATTGCACAACAGCAGCTTCTTGCCTCTTGAATGACACTGTTTTTTCACCAAGGGGATTATCTGAAGGAGACTTGAATGTCTTACTTTTAGGACTTCAAAAATAATTGGTAGTTTTTGTGCTTACAATAAAAGTCTGGATTTGTGTTTAAATGTAATCCTGACGGCCCTATTTTTAGATTGCTGTGGATGGTATTTGGAAAGTGTGTCCAGAAGCTGGAGGACCAATTCAATTCCCTGGCTTTAACGGTAATTATTTATTTGTTGTGAAGTTGGTTTATTGCATTAAATTATGAACTCAATTAATCCTTGTATTTTCTGTTGTTTTGTTGTCTATAGGTGAGCTTATTTGTCCTGCTTACCCCGAGCTTTGTAGTACTGGTTCCGTTTCTGTACCTGGACAATGCTCCAGTTCTTGTAATTTTAATGGAGACTGTGTAGATGGAAAGTGTCACTGTTTCATAGGATTTCATGGTCACGATTGCAGTAAACGTAAGCTCCTCTAAAGCTTTTAAATTCAGTTTGAAATCAGTGGATTGGAATCTGGCTTTATTGGATTCTATATGTGCAATTCTGGAAAGCGTTTGTTTGATTCTTTCGCAGGTTCCTGTCCTGGGAATTGCAATGGCCAGGGCAAATGCCTTTCTAACGGGATCTGTCAGTGTAAAAATGGTTACACTGGCATTGACTGTTCTACTGGTAATCTGATCTTTCCTGGAGAAGCCTGATAATGTTCCTTTCAAATGTTAACTTTCTAATTTTTGCTCTTTGCTATGATATACAGCTGTTTGCGATGAACAATGCAGCCTACATGGTGGGGTCTGTGACAATGGAGTTTGTGAATTCCGTTGCTCAGACTATGCAGGCTACACATGCCAGAACAGCTCAACTCTTCTGTCCAGTCTTTCAGTTTGCAAAAATGTACTGGAGAGTGACATGTCTGGTCAACACTGTGCACCCAGTGAATCAAGTATACTTCAGCAGCTAGAAGAAGTTGTTGTCATGCCCAACTATCACCGATTGTTCCCAGGTGGTGCCCGTAAGTTGTTTAATATCTTTGGCAGCAGTTACTGTGATGCAGCTGCTAAGCGACTAGCCTGCTGGGTATGTGGTGGTTACTAACTCTTTCTTCATCATAGCGCACCAATTGTTTTACTATTTGTCCTGCATGATGATGTTTTATTAATTGTATGGGCTAAAATTTTGTCCACATAAATGACCAGATCTCTATCCAAAAGTGTGACAAGGAGGGTGACAACAGGCTCCGGGTATGCCATTCAGCATGCCAGTCCTATAATTTAGCTTGTGGAGCATCACTCGACTGCTTGGACCAAACCCTCTTTAGCAGTGAGGAGGAGGGAGAGGGTCAATGCACGGGCTCTGGTGAGATGAAAGTGTCATGGCTTAATCGTCTGCGGAGTAGTTTGTTTTCAACTAATGCTTCGTCCAGAGGAATGTCTGTAAAATATAGGCAGCTGTAGTCTTTTTTTTTTTTTTTGTCCTTCGATTTTTCTTACTTATGGGTTGTAATTTTTCTAGGCTCAATTGTAGGAAAGGTTGGCATGCAGTTCTCGTGCCCTAGATGTAGGTTTTTCTTGTGCTTCACCCCCGTTTAAGGAAAGTGGGTGGCATTGGCTTTCTAAAATGAAAGCCGCTTGTAGAGAAAATTGGAAATGTTTGCAGAAAGAACAACAAAAAAAAAAAGGTACAAAGCTTTGTTGGTGAGTGATCAGAGGTTTGGCCGAAGGCCTTTAAAGAAACGCCTCATGTTTTCCCGTTCCTCCCTTGTCTACTTTGTTCTTCATTCCTCATAATTTTGCGTTTTGGTGAGTCTAGTTATTTTCAGTTTGTCAATGCTCAGTTGGACATGGGTTTCACAAAGTTAATTTGCAGGATGAAAATTATTGATATACCAAATCGAACTAGCATCTCATGTCTACGTTCCTCGCTTATAACCTGCTTTCCTCAGCTAAACCCAGTCGATTACTCATTCTTTTGGTCAGCTGAATGGTTCTGAAGCCACAAGTCTTGATAATGTCTGACTCGTTAGCGTGCACCGTTAATGCAGCAGTTTCATGACACAATATGACGCTCCACCAGCTTTCTAGAATTTTTCCATTTTGGAGATGTAGAAAATCCAGTTACTCAGAACTTGCATCTGTTGCCCCAAGGGTCTCAGGGTAGTCTTGTGGCTGTAGTGGAGATGTAAACAAAACTGCATATCAGCAAATTCTTCTAAAATGTAATCTAAGTATGCAGTCTGGCGATTGGTCTTGTGTTTCCAATGGGTTAAACAAATCCGCAGAGAACTGTCTCTACTCTCTTAAGACTGGCCTGATATGTTTGTTCATAAATCATACTTCATTTGTTTGGAGAGAAAAGAACTTATAAACACTGGCACTCTAATACGAGCTCCACCCATACTCAAGTCTTGGGCTCAAAACTTCTCAATACTCCTTTGTTGTTCAAATGACATAACTAATCCTTGTTTAGTTGTTTTCAGTTTGTTTGCACTATCTAGGAACTCTTATAGCTTGTTCCCTTCTTTCTTTTGCTTTGTAGCAGGGACTGTTCCCTGCTTTGTCTCTCTTTAATTATGAAATTGGTTTCGTTCATAAAAAATAATGGGCTTGGGTCAGCTGGGTTTTGGTGGGTGGAAACGAAATCACGGACTAACGGATTGCACCATGTGGGCCGCAGGCCTATCTTATTACCTAGAACTGAATTAGCCGCTTGTGAGAGTTACGCCTATAGGCTACGAACAAAGATTGGGGGATGTTTTCCAACTTTAAAGAGTGCGTTAATTTTCTCAGGGACAAGGGGAGAAATTTCCAAGTAAATACATGGCGGGGATCTCAGCACATGTGAACTTCCAACATTTCTCCAATTAAGACTACATATAAAATCAGGCGTAATCATTTTTAAGTTCAATTCTCTCGCGAGTAAAATTTGCAACAAAAAATTCTCTCCAAACCCTATTCCGCAGATACCCTCTCCTCAGTTAAAAATTCTCTCCAAACCCTATTCCGCAGATACCCTCTCAGTTACATGTGAATCCATCTTGATAAAATCCATCTTGTTAATTTTATCTTTTCTTGGGAAAGGAAGACTTTTTATTCATAGATAACTGTAATCCTACCAAAATAGTTATAGCAATGATAAAAGCGTCAATCTCGTTGTAGATTGCCAAAAACCTCAGCTCAACTGCCCTAAGAATTATGTGACGCACCACCAGCTTTCTCTTTATCGTGTCCCATAAAATCAATACCAACTACACAAACGGTCTGTTTATCATGAAGGATAAATTGAAGGATTGATGGACTATGGTAAGTGAAAGGGAACAGAGGAGACAGGATTAATAAGTCAAACATCTATGAAATTGTTTGGCAAATTAAGAGAGAAGAGAATAAAAATCAAATAATTCAAATTGAAAACATTGAAAAATATAAAGAAATATAAAGATATGAACCAATCCATCTAAATTGAAAAATATTGAAAATTACAAATGACAAAGGATTAGAGGGATTTCTATTATTCTTCTTAAACGAAGAATACATTCAATCTCTTGTCTCTAGTTCCCTTCTTTTCATTCATCTTTTTTGCGATCTTTTCTGACAAGCATGACAAAAAAAAATCATAATTTTTATTCATATTAAACTTAAACGATACGATGGAGCACTTCATCTTTTTCGTGAACTTTTCTAACAAACATAATTTTTGTTCATATTAAATTTAACGATACGAGCACTTCCTTTCTCACCAAACAAGCCAATCTTGAGAACATTTCAGGAAAACTATGACACTAATAGCATAATCCAACAACAAATTAGTTGCAGCCACGGCTAATATGAGAAGGAAAAAAAGGGTCAATATAGTCATATGATATGTGGCAAGCGTGCCATCGTTAATTATATATGAACGGTCTGCGTGCAAAGGTGTGAAATTTCCTGCACGTATACATGACAGTTATGGCAAGTGCGATTGTACCCGACTACTCTCATGTGAAAAGAAGCATCCTAGTCTAATCAAGACATACTGCCACAATGAAAAATAACACTATAAATAAGATAATATTCTTCAGAAAATAATCATCTACCAAGAAACATAACAGAAAATCATGCGGACCCAGTTGGACAAAATGTGATCAAGTAATCAGAACCAGTGCAAGTACAAGTACTTGAGGCATCATCATAAGCATAACTATATGCCGTCGGGCACGCGTTTTTGAACATCGCCGAGTATTGCGTTGGCGAGCAAGTCTGCGGCGTGGCATGATCGGCGGTGCAACAAAACTCGGGGGCGTTAAAAGCTGCGCAAGCACTCTTGCAAGCAACAGTAGAACCCGAATCCATCACCCGGAGCTCTGCGGGGCAGTTCCCATTAAGATCCGCAACACAGCCCGCGTATTGACAATCCCCTGAGCCACCCAGCGCCTTAACACCTAAGCCAACATTGTAACCATCCACAAGACTAACATCATAAAAGTCCTTGTCATTGGGGTTTGTCCCGATTGTAAATTCCACAAGACTGACGGGAGGAGCACCACCGCCAATGCACTTTAGAGTGCCACCACAGTCACCGGTTATGCACTTGCCGTTGCCTGATTCGTCAAATGTGCACCCAGTTCTGGCCCAAAATCGGCCTGACCAACCAGGTGGAGCCTGGAACTGGATTGATGCACCAGGTGGCAGCGAAAAACCACCACTACCAAGAGGGGCAGCTCCATTCCCAGAGAGAGTTCCTGGCCATAAGGTGTAGCTGCACTGGTTTTGGAGAGTAAACACTGTGGCATTACCTATGTTGCCTGCAAGAAATTGGTCAGACACGTGGAGATTAGTTCTTGTAAAAATGGCAACTTATATATATAATCATCTTTTAGTTGATTACGACTTGAAATGGTTAATTTGCAAAATAATTAAAGCTACAATTTTTATAATAATAACAATCAAGATTCCAAAAATTATTGATGAGATCTGACAGCCTTGTATGATATGTTAAATCTACTAATTAACACTGACAATCTCTCAAAATCATTTTTTCTTTTTTCTTTTCTCATTTTAAAAAAAAAAAACTAGACCCCAGACCCAACATGGATAGGTGATGAGATATTTGAGTACTAATGCTTTACCTATTAAGAAGAGAAGCAGTAGAAGATAACAGAAAGAGATTGATGGAATCGCCATTGGTTTTTCAGAGGAGGAAGAAGATGGGGATGGGGATGGAGATGGAGAGAACAGATAGTTGTGTGTAAATGAAGAAAAAAGTGCTTATGATGGAAAGGTTAGAGTGGTTGTAGTTTGGATCGTGGAAGTTATAATCGAAGGCTTTGCATTTATAATCGTGCCCCTACCTTAACTTTCTCATCAGTAGTCCATTTTAATTCCTTCCAATCTTTTCGTGATTCACATTAATTATAAGATTTTAGGTTATTTTCCTCATTGACGGCATGTTATCATATTATTATGCTCTCAAGTACTAATTTAGATTTGTCTCCCTTTTCTAATTCGTCCTTCCTTTTCGTGATTTACTACTTTATCGTTTTTGTTTTTGAGAAATTCTTTGTGTGTGTCAACTAATTGTAATACGCTACTACGAAATACCGTTTTAGCTAGTCATTTAATATATATAATGCAATAGATAATTGGTCGGGAAGAGGGACTAATTCTACTATGCAGTCCCAATTTGGTTGTTAATTTTCCGTCACTAGGTTCGCTTCCACCACAATATATATATAACGAAAACGTTTGTTTTCTCACCCAATCGCCCTCTTTTTACGTGATGTACATGATAAGATTTTAGATCGTGCTCCACTGTGAAAGCACGTGCTTGTAATTATATATTTGCAGTAATTTAGTTTTGTTGCATGGTTAATATTTTCTACTAAATTCGCCCTCTCTTTTCGTAATGATCATGGTATAAAGTGGGGTAATGGGTTCTTTTTTGGGTTAATGTTGTATTACATTTAATCTACTTTTTCTTTTGTATTTAAATTATCTATTTGTTTTTTTTTTCTTAATATCAATTTTGTTGGGTTTTTTTTTCCATCTATTTTCACATTTTTACAGCATGAAATTTTTATTTGATGTACATTTTGGTTCTTGGGATTTTCTTAAAAAATTACTTTGGTCACTTTATCTTATTTTTCTTACAAATAAGTTTTTAATTGAAACTTTTTTATCATCATATTTTTAGAGTAAGTACAATTCAATCTCTGAAAAATATTTTTACTTTAATTTTGATTTTGTTTTCTCATATTATCATAGATATATTATTTTTGTTTCCTATAATATATATATATATATATATCATAATTCTATAATGAATTTTTCCTTCCTTTTTTATTTTTTATCTCAATTTTTTAGATTAAAATCATCCTTTTTTTTTAGTTTTTTCTTGATTTTTTAGGTTAAAATCAAGAAATAATCTTTTTAAAAAAAAAGAAAGAAAATTCTCACAATAGATATATTTATTATATAAAATAAAATTTTTACTTTGTTTAAAACGAAGATATGTAGTTAAATTGATTTATATCTTATCTCGTCCCTCAACCCATTTAAATTATTTGAATAATTTTAACCAAGTTTATGATTCAATTTATAGAGACTTAAATTTTTAAATTATATTTACTGTAAAATATGATGACAAAAAAATTAATTAAGAACTTATTGTATGAACAATAAAATATAGGGACCAAACTGATTTTTTAAAATAAATTCTAGGAGCTAAAATGTACATCAACGAAAATTTCCATAGAGTAAAAGGTTAACACATGTTAATTTTTAACAGAGTTTCTAAGTCAATTGACTAAAGAATATGTTGATGACTTAACACATAACGCATAGAATTGATATTAAGATTATTTTTTTTAAAAAAAGGCCTTTTAAATACAAAAGAAAAAGGAGACAGATATTCTAAAACTTTTACCAATTGTTTCTTTTTCTTTTTTTAGAACTGATTCTGAGAGAAAGCTTTTATTAACATCCATGCTCAGTGAAGTTATAATTAACCAAATTAAATTAATTGACAGATTTTTACATATCTTGGTGCATGCAATATGGTTTGAGAAATAAATATGTTAGAAAACTCATTGATCAATCTAACAGCAAAATAGTACTTAAAAATAAACAGTATTAATTGATTTTTTTTTTTTTTTTGAAGAAAAAATATTTTAAAAAATTGCATTTCAAACGCTATTTGTATAGCACTATTTAGAAGTACAACTCATGCAGTTTTATTTTAATAAATCTATGTTTTCTAACGGCTACCATATCATTTTGTAATCTGACAAGTTAATTTTTCGACATCTGAATATTCATATGTAAAGTCAAGTAGCTTCCTTTTTTATTTTTTATTTTTGAGAATGTTTTGTTTTGGTTTTTTTTAAAAGCAAAAGATATTAATAGTCAAGTTCCTCGATCGCCTTGTAATTAAAAGGGATCATTTCATCATCTATGCGTCCATTTTCTTATGCACTTTATGCCAATCTCACGTCATTCACTTATTATTCAGCCAAAGGAGCTAGGGCTTTACTCCATTAACGTATTACGATCAGAGCACATGCACGATCCAATGAAGCTAGTTAGAGTCATTTATTTAGTAATTTGTTTCATATAAAGCCATAAAAGTTGAATGGAAAGAAACAAATGTAAGTTCACTGGCAATAAGGGGAAGCTAATTAATTTACCAATAACGGCTATCAAAGTGGGCAAAAAAAAAAATTATTCAGAAAATAATTAAGAAACCATTGCTTTGGCTTAACCCGAAATAGTACCAAATCACATGACAACCTGGTATTACCCCCTAGACAAAAAGAATCAGATCAGAAAGGCTTGGCTGGTTGTGTTGCGAGTAATGAAGCATAGAAAATGTCGAGGAGGAGCCGATCACGTGGCAAACATCAGCACTACTTCCCAGTCCCCACTCTCACACGTCCTAAGGCCAAGGCAGTTGACATACATGTGCTAGCTGTCACTACTCCCTAATATCACTAGATTCACCTTTCCCATTATTTAATTGGGATCTGCTAGATTAATCCCAACTTCTTTTCTTTAACTTCAATGCTCCACCGTGACTAATGGGAGCCATGAACGTCTATACGTTACAGAGATTAATTAACCACGATTAATGTATATATAAGTTGCATCTCTTTTTTTATCTTTGATTCTATGTTCAATCTCAATATACAGCAATTTATACTTTTCTATATTCTAAACAGGTTTAGACCCCAATAGTGTAAAATGACCTCATCGATTTGTGCTAGTTAAGTACGGCTTGTATCAACTTGATCGTTCTATGCCGATATTCCTTTCACAAGATATGGTGACCGATAAATTCGTTCATTCTTTTCTTTCTAACGTAATAATAAAAAACCTGCAGGCGGTAGCTTGAATGGAACGAATTGTCTTGTCGGCTAAGAGATCATATAGCTTTCAGTTCCCACAACATCAATGTAATGTTTGTTTGCTTCGACAGAAAGACAGACACAACAACACATTACCCTGCGCCACATCTATCTATTTCATCACAATAGATATTCATTGCTTAATCAGGCAGACAATTGTATTCATCCATGAAAAGAAAGCCAGTTTTTAAACTGAATTTGGTATTTGATCTTGCATCTATCCATTAATTAGAGAGCTTCAGCTACAAGTCTAAAATACGCAAAAGACAGCCTATGTGTGAACTCGTATAATGGGATTAGTTAGGGAGATGAAAAGTGGACACAAAAATAGCAGCTCATGGCTCCCACCGTTTGCCCTTGTTTAATTGTAATTTGAAATTTTCGAATTCATAATATCAAATTACATAATTTGAATTCTAAAATATTAAAGATTTGACAAATATAATCAGAATTGCCTAATCTCCGTTATATGTAATAGTCATTTGGATCGATCGTTACTTAGAATATCAAAACAAAATCATTTTTGCATTCTGATTATTAATTATGTTTTTATAAAAAATATATATATATATATTAAAAATATTTTTAACTTTCAAATCTTGAACCTTTTTTAAAATATTTTTTTTCTTATAACATATTATAAACATTTTACAAATATTTTCAACCCCCTAATTTTGATATTTTTTTTAAAATTTTTTTTTATAAAATGTTATAGTAAAAGAAACATAATTAACAATACACAATTTCAAGCATTAAAAAAACATTTTATAAATTAAAATGAGCATAATTAATGGTTAACCCCTTAATTTTATAAATTATATAAAATATATTTTTTAAAATGTTTATAATATTTTATTAAAAAAATTTAAAAAAAAAGTTCAAAATTAGGAGGTTAAAAAATTCATAAAATATTTTATATATATATAATTTATAAAATATTTATAATATTTTATAAGAAAAAAGTTTTAAAAGAAGTTCAAAATCAAAGTTAAAAATATTTTTAAATGATTTTTTTTTACATTTCAAGTAACAATCAACTAGATTCATCATTGCACATAATGAAAATTAGATAATTTTAATTACATTTATCTAATTTTTAATATTTTGAGATTCAAATTATGCGATTTAATATCGTAGGTCGAAAACCGCCAAATAGTAATAACATGGAGATGAAAGTTGCTATTAAACTGGTCAGCAACTGACAGGTTAAAAATTCTTGAAGAAAGTTGGCATCTCAACCCAATTTCATATGAAACCTAATACGCGGACATAAAGTTGATATGGTTCCACCTAATGCTTCAAAACTTACCAAACTGAATGACGACAATTGGACCAATACTGATTTGTCATTCAGGTGATTCTGGTGACTACCAACTACTTCCTTTCTCTTTTTGCGCACTTCCGTTGGCAAGATCAAACTTTGTTGATCTATAAATGACAAAATACCTATCAACTGCAACTGTTTTTATCATGTACAGCGATGACATTCCAGGACACATTTTTTTTGGAATGTTTTCATATCTATTCAACATGCAGAAGGTAAGGAATTGACAAATTGGGACAAGAGATACGAGAGAAATTGTAAGCAGAAGATTAAGGGCAGGTAATGCAGCATCCCTTCGTCATGGTAACACAGGCATCCTATGGAGTGCCTACTCTATTAAAGCAAATGCTATTGATGTCACTTTTTTTTTTTTCAATTATTATTATTCTTTTAGCCCCAACAATCAATGGATTGAATTGCACAACAAAAGATTAATCTTCTATCAGCTTCAAGTTCTCCAACCGAAGACCAGTATATCTTCGCTTTTCTAAACCCCAAAACGTGGATTTCTTTCAAAAGAAACAGATCAATTCAACTACAAGTTTGGTGACGGTGAAATTAATGGGACTCTAATTCCATGGTATCAGGACTTAAAAAGAGAGAAATTGGATGGGCTGGGCTGGAGTGATATGGGCTTTCCTAATTCTTGTGGACCTGGTGGAAGACAGCACCAAGTGCTAGACTGGACGAGACTATATAAGTCTTTGCGTGTGAATCTAAGATATCCCAAATCCAGTGCAATCAATTATGATTTAAAGCGCAGAAGCTGCAAGATAGCTGACTTCGAAGCAGGATGGTTGTCAATGAGATGAGATCCTATTCTGGGAATTCTAACACACAAAGGTGAGGTATGATTTATGAGTGTAGATAGAGAACATAACCTGGTTGAGAGCAGAAAGCTAGGGATGTAGAGAGAGAACCTGGCTGTAGGTAGAGTGCGGAATAGATAGAAGAACTTGACAGCTGATCCTTAGTGTGGACTAGAGCTTACAGCTAACCACAGCCTAATAACAAGGGTCGCTATGATCCATCTTACCATTTGACATCGCATAACACCATGGGTTTCATGGTATTCAAGTGATGAAGCATTTCTACGCTTCATGTCAAACCATTTTGGCGGTACACTTGCATTCTTTAAAAACCCAGGCAGCAAACAGCTGTGTCATGCTGTCCAAATAATATATCAGAACGGTATAATGAAATAGAACATTTGATCACATTGCTTCTGTGTTCACAAGAGACGTTAACCGTAATTTTGACCATCTTCTATAGCAAAACTATTCATTTCTCACTAAAGACAATGCTTTAACAAATTCATAACGGGTAATGGGTGAAATTTAAAGTGAGTAGCTGAAGCAAGGTAGGCACATGCTAAACTCACATATGTTTTAAACCAAATGGATGAAAAAAATGTAAGATAAATGAACAATGCAGTCAATAAAATTACCACGGCAAAATTTACCGAGCATTTCAGTGTAGAAAGGTCTTGTTCTGTTCCTTCATTAGGGAAATGGCCCTGAGCTTTGAAGTCTGAGAGCAACCAATCCTTGAGCTGGAACCTATCCATTAGCCAAGTAGCAGCCTCAGCGTCAGAGGCTGGGATCTCCTTGGCAGGGATACGTCGAACATGAATGTGAACTTCTGAAGGATCTGTACCAAATACGTTGTCCAGAAATGTAGGCAATTGATGTTTATATGCAATACTCACATCATAAACTGCAAAAATAGGAAACATGAAGAGTGTATAGTAAATGTCAGCAGGAGCAATACAAAGAGAGGGAAAAACTGAATTCTTCTCATCATGGAACAAAGGTCGTGATGTTGGGATGAACTTGCAAGAATTCCAGCACTAATACATTAATGCTAGCAGCAGAAATGCACTGATAATGAGACAGGTTGCTTTTTTAAAACAGTACGGAATGGAATCAAACATATATATATGTTTTGCTTAACGGGGTGAATGCCACACTATATTATCAAATGCAAATAATGACCACACTGAAAGGAAAAGGATTATTTGAAAAGACCTGCATCCAAGGAACCTCGTAGAACTTCCAAGCACATGCAAAAACCCCTTGTTTTAGGAAGTAGCACATTCGTCAGCACAGGAAGTCCAACTTCAGCAGCAAACTTTTGGCTCCTCTGGCTTTTCTGTTCACTGCCAAAAATTAAAAATGTGAGAACCAACCAATTATGTAAGATATCGGATTTTAGTAGGCAAAATAGGAAAGGTCAGTCAAGATGTTGACATGTTTTAATAAAAAGCAAGCTTAATAATATGGGAAAACATGCCTGCACGTAGAGTGATTAGGAGATTAAAGGGAAAAAAAAGCAGTACCTAAAATCAGTTCCTTCAGGGAAAAGTGCAAGCCACAAGGGATCTTGAGGATCCTTGAAAGTCGAAAGCATTTGCCGCATGACAGGTTCATCAACTTCCCACTTCCTCTCAACTGAAATGAACTCCAAAATATGGAATCCCCAACCAAAGACCGGTAGTTTCATCAAGCTGCTCTTGAGGATGTACTTGATGTAGCCCAGGCACCCCTTTCGCAATGCCAGATTCCACAAGTACATCCAATCAACCTCAGTTCTGTGATTAGCAATTACCAAAACACGTTCCTTTGGTGGAACTAAATCTCCAGAAAACACAACTTTGGTCCCATTTATCTTTTCAAATAAAAAGGGCCACAAAGCTAGCCAAAGAGAGAAGAGGAAGGAGGTTGCTTTTCTACAATAGTGTATGCTGAAAAGCCGCAACAGGACAGCCACAACAGGTGCAAAATATACTAGAAACATAAAAGCAGTAGAAAGATACACCAACAAACAAATAAGACCCCTTATCAACCTAAAAGGAGTTAAAGGGTGGTGCTTTAGTCTATTATCAGTTTTCAGAGGCTTGCAAGTTTCTTCCATGTCCTTCCAGATTCAATTGAAACCACCTCCTCCCAAAGCCAGCTGCAGTACAATGTGCCTAAAGAGTCATTTGAGATATTCCTTAACCTCGGTATTTTACAAAGGACAAGCTAAAAATCCAAATGGGAAGAGAAACTAGAAAAAATGCACAAGCACATAACACAATGATGCTACTCATTGTCAAACAGCCAACTAGAGTTATAAAATCAACACAAGAACTTCAGTTCTCAGGCCAAGTCATGGTAAAGTCAGAAGAAGCTAAACAGTGATATATACTTTCATCAATAAAAACCTTCTCATGCCAATAAACCAAGTCTAGCAAGGCTCTTGAATGTCAGTGAAATAGAAATTCATGGGCTGCCACAATGATGGAGGTCATCCGGTTGATGCCAGTTCCTAAACTAAAACAAAGAGTCCCATTTTCACGTTACCAAGAAAACAATAAACTTTAAGATACTAGCACTATCACACATTTGTACTCTTTTGTTAAATGCCTAACCAAAAAAGGGGGTAAACCATCAAGTCTCAGTTAAGATAACCAAGCTCTCTCAGCAGGAAATTGATCCTTGATCTGGTAGCCAAAAATTTTAGTGGCGCACCCGTCTTTCCCCCAAAAATGGAAGACTCAATGCGATTCATCTCTATTATGTGATAATATCATACAAGAAAAAGCTGACATGCATCACAATTCACAAATAATGTTCAACACTCAACATCCTAATTAGTAATTACCTACAATTCTCACTGTTTTATATCCATAAGTTAACCTGGGTGAACAAGCTATAGTTCTTCAATAAAATCATTGATCCTCAGTTGAAACTACAATTAGCATATACAATTATTTTGACATTGTATCAGCATTTCCAGTCTAAGACATTTTATCCATTCCTAATTTCCACAAACAGCAAAAGTGCGTTTTTGGTTTAGCTATTAAAGCCGAAGCAAGCAAGCGAGCACTCTCTCTGTCTGTCTGTCTCTCTCTCTCTCACACACACACACAAACACATAACCGATAGATTCACGTTCCTAATACACATCATTCACAATTAACTTGGAATCTAAACATCAAAATTCAAACACAAGGACGCCCAATTCTCACCTTAAATAGTTCGAATCTGAAAGAGCAGCATAATTCAAAAACGATCTGTGAATTGAAGGATGAGTTACCTGGTCTCTGGAGAGAGAGTCAAAAGAGTTCTGGTTGGAAGACTTGAGTTGTTATCCAGAAGAAGATAGAGATAAGAAAAGTCTAGGCATATTTACAAGGCAAAATACAAAAGCCAGAGCCAATAAAACAGGAACAATTTTGGAATCTAGATTCGGAAACACAGGCCAGAGGGCATCGCATCGGTTTCTTATTAGCAACCTAGCGGTCCAACTCATTGAGCTTCGTTTTGTTTTAGATCACAAGAAGAAAAGAACAAATAATAATAATAATAATATTACCAACCAAGCACATTGCGTGGTGGTTTAGTTGTCCAATCAGATAGTGCTTTTGTTGCTAACAATGTTTCTAGAAACGGCCGCGATTCAATAACTCAAACTCCAAAGTGCATTATTTTATTATTTTGTATTTCACGGTCACGAATTTCGGTTTCTACAATGATCCTGTTGGTCAAGGCAGCCCAACAGAGACTTCCTGCTCTAATTTGCTTCCAAGATGGGCTTGATTTGAATTCAATAATCTAATAGGCTATGAAGCCCTGCATACCTCTGCGGGGTCTGAGTCTTTACGTTCTGTTTGGGAGAGAATGCGACGATAATGAAAAGTGGGTGAAAGGGAAATAAATTACCTAATAATAATTAAAAAAAAAAACTAAAACAAAACGTTAAAATACTGTAACGTTTTTACTGTTCATTCACTTCATTTTTTTTTTTTTTGCCATGCCTTGCCTATAGCTAGGGTTATTTTTTTTCTCTCTTTTTTTTTTCCTCATTGCCTTGCCTCGCCTGTAGCTCGGTTTTGTTTTTTTTTTCTTTCTTTCTCTTGCTGCTTTAAGTTTCTCTTTTGACTTTAAATTAAATTTTACATTTTAATCCCTATTTTATAAAAAAAAATTTATTTTAATCATTAAAATTTTATTATATTTGATTTTTAGTTCTATAATAAATCATTTTTTTCCTCTTGCTGCATTTTTTAAGCTTTTCTTTTGGCTTTTAGTGAATTTTATTTTTATTTTAATCCCTATTTTGTAATTTTTTTTATTGTAGTTATTAAAATTTTATTATATTTCATCTTTGTCCCTATAATAAATATTAAAATTTTATTTTATTTTTATTTTAGTCCATGTTTTGTAACTTTTTTATTTTGATCATTAAAATTTTATTATATTTAATTTTTATTCTTATAGTTTTCTCTTCTTATATTTCTTAAGCCCCTCTTTTGGCTTTTAGTGAATTTTATTTTTATTTTAGTTCCTATTTTGTAACCTTACATTATTTTAGTCATTTAAATTTTATTATATTTGAATTTTTGTTCTTATAATAAATATTAAAATTTTATCATATTTGATTTTTATACCTATAATAAATATTTTTTTCTTGACTTTTAGCAAAATTGTTCATAGTCTTATAGTTTATAAGTTTTTTTTTATCATTCTTTTATGATTTTTACTTTGTTTTGATCATTTAATTTTGATTGTGTGTAATTTTATCTCTATTTTTTTTTCCTAATTCTCAATTTGACAAAGTTTTTTGTCTTTTTGTTTTGGGTGGTCTCTCTATCTCATTAACAAATTAAATGCTAAAGTACTGAAGCATTTCTATTGTTAATTCAATGTTCACTCTTTTTGTTTTTTTTTCAGTATCTTGCCTTGGTCGTAGCCCGGTTTTGTTTTGTTTTTTTTTTCTTTCTTTCTTTCTCTTGCTACTTTAAGCCTCTCTTTTGGCTTTAAATTAATTTACATTTTAGGCCCTATTTTGTAACTTTTTTTTTAATCATTAAAATTTTATTATATTTGATTTTTAGTTCTATAACAAATCAGTTTTTTCTCTCTTGCTTGCATTTTTTAATCTCTTCTTTTGGCTTTTAGTGAATTTTATTTTTATTTTAATCCCTGTTTTTAATTGTTTATTATGGCTATAAAAATTTTATTGTATTTCATTTTTGTCTCTATAATAAATATTAAAATTTTATTTTATTTTTATTTTAGTCCTTGTTTTGTAGCTTTTTTATTTTGACTATTAAAATTTTATTATATTTAATTTTTATTCCTATCGTAAATCATTTTTTTCTATTTCGGTAATTTTTAAGCCCCTCTTTTGTCTTTTAGCGAATTTTATTTTTATTTTAGTTCTTGTGTTGTAACCTTTTATTATTTTAGTCATTTAAATTTTATTATATTTGATTTTTTTTCCTATGATAAATATTCAAATTTTATTATATTTCATTTTTATCCCTATAATAATTTTTTTTCTTGGCTTTTAATAAAGCTGCTCACGGTCTTACTTGTTTATAAGTTTTTTTTCCTTTTAGTGAATTTTTTTTTATCATTCTTTTATAATTTTTACTTTATTTTAATCATTTAATTTTGATCGTGTGTAATTTTATCTCTATTTTTTTCACCTAATTCTTGATTTGACAAAGTTTTTCATCTTTTTGTTTTTGGTGGTCTCTCTATCTCATTAACAAATTACGGACGAAAAATATATGGTAAAAATTAATCATCTAAAATTAAAAAAAAACTACCACATTATTATTATAATTATCGGTTATTATATATATTTCTAATAAAATACATGTTTATATCAAACAATATCTAATTAGCAACATTAAATTACTTAACTTTGCTTGTAGGCTTTTCATTTACCTAACCCTACGGCAAAATATAAGATATATGTTTTGACCTTTTTTTTTAATGTTTTTTACATGATCCTTTTAAATAATTATTTTAAAATTTTGTATGTTACATGAATGAATACGTAAGAATATTATATAACTCACTCTGAATTTTTTTCGCGTGATACTTTTACATAATTATTTTAAAATTTTGTATTTTTTATTAATGAACACATAAAAATATTGTATCGCTCACTCCACGGCAACGTGCGAGATATATGCTAGTCATTATCCATCTTTATACGATGAATCAAATTTTCAAAATGTATCTAAATTTTAAAATGCATTCAACATGTCCTTATCATTTAAACTAGTTACATATAACTAAAAGAAGTAAGGTATATTCATAGTAAATAAATAGTGATTAACGAGTGCCTCGGTTTTATTTTTATTTTTATTTTATTTATTTACTTATTTTTTAATGTTGGGCTGACTAGCAGCCAAGGCATGGCTCTTGGGCATCTAGGCGCCAAGTCTTGGCTGCCTAGCACGGCCTCTTTCAAACTTTATATACCCCAGTTCTCTTCTTCTTTTTCTTTTTTTGTTTCTTTTTTTGTTTTTTGCCTTGTTGGGTTGATCTCTTTCTCTTGTATATATATATATTAAGTTACACTTGCTACTCTGAAAACATTTTTTATTTTTGATTTTATTACAAATTTGTAATGGCTAATATTTTTTTAATATAATTTTATTTGTTAATAATTTTTTTTATATATATATAATTTTACTTGTTGATAAATTTAGTTTTTTAATATCTGAATTTTGGGATAAAATTTTAAACCATCAATGTTTTATTTTTTAAAATATTTTATTATAATTTATAAAATAAATTATTTTTATATTTTTAAATTAGTGTTTTATTTTCTAATATATATATATATATATAGAGAGAGAGAGAGAGAGAGAGAGAGAGAGAGAAGCTAAAAGTATGTTTTAGATAGTTTGACTTGATTTTTTTTAAAATAATAACGAGTTCAAAAATTCACAAATTTTATTTGCTTTTTTATATATATTTATTCAGAATTTATCAAAAACAATTTTGTTGTTGTTGTTTTTCTTTTCGAATATCAATGTTTTATTTTTCAAAAATATATGATTATAATTTATGCAATAAATTATTTTTTTATTTTTAAATGAATGTTTTATTTTAATATATATATAT